GCCAACAGCAGCGTCCGCCTCAGCAGCAGCCCCAGCAGTGGGGCACTCTGCAGCAGTGGGGCACTCAGCAGCAGTGGGGCCCTTCGCAGCAGTGGGCCCCCCCGCAGCAGTGGAGACCTACGGGCCCCCCGAGCACTGGGCGCAGTGGTGCCCCTTCTAGTCGGGGACCCCGCTCGGCCGGCCGCGACGTTGGTCCCTGTGAGTACTGGATCCTGACGGGTCCGCGCAGGGGCACGTACTGCGGCCGCCCTGACCACTCTGCTGCACGCTGCTTCAGCCGTCTTGACGACCTGTACGTCCTGCACCACGGTCCCTCCGCTCCCCCGCCACCGCGCTGGGGACCACTCCTTGCTCGTGGTGTTGCTGTGTTTGATATGTCTATGGATGATGCTAGGTCTTATGCCATGTATGCTGATGTTGACTATAGTGTTGTCGGATCTGTTTACTTGCCTGTACCTAGTGTAGGATCTTTGCCTGTTGCTAGAGTAGGTGCTGGTGTAGGATCCTGTCTAGCTACTAGTACAGGTGCTCCCTCGGCAGACGCGTCGCTCTCCTTCACACTGGACTCCGGAGCGACGCAGTGCTTCTTCCGCGACAGCACGACTCTTACTCCACTCTCGGCGCCGGTTTCTGTAGCACTGGCCGATCCCTCTTCGGGACCGGTCATTGCGACTCACGCCACTACCCTCCCGTGCCCAGCTGCCCCTTCCGGTTCTCTGACCGGCCTCCACGTTCCTACTTTCTCTAGGAACCTGGTTGGTGTGGCTCCTCTGGCGAGACAGCACGTCGGGGTCTGGTTTGAGCCTTCGGGTGACACTGCAGTCTGTGTGGACGGTGACACGTACGCCCCTCTGGCCACTTTTCGTCAGGAGCCGGGCTCTGGTCTGTACACCCTCCACACCGACACCCGTCCGGTTCCCCCGTCCCACCAGGTAGCCAGGTCCAGTCAGGTAGCTGTGCCAGGTCTAGTGGCTGCGTCGTGCTCGTGTCGGTCGCTGTCCCACCCTGCCCTCCTCTGGCACCACCGCCTTGGTCACCCGTCCCTCTCTCGTCTCCGCGCTATGTCCAGTCAGCGTCTTGTCTTAGGCCTCCCCCGCGACCTCCCGCCGCTCCCGCCGTCCCCCGCTCCTCCGTGCGGTCCTTGTGTCCAGGGTCGGCTGCGCGCCACTCCTCACTCCTCCTCCCTTCGTCCAGCCTCCGAGCCCTTTGAGACACTCCACTTAGATGTCTGGGGCCCCGCTCCACGGCTTGGACCTGAGCGAGAGAGCTTCTTCCTAGTGGTCGTTGACGACTACTCTCGGTACACCACCGTGTTCCCTTTGGCGAAGAAGTCCGACGTGACTTCTACGCTGATCCGGTGGCTGCTCGCCACCGAGAGTACTCGTCGTCGTCGTGTCAGTTGTCTCCACTCCGACCATGGGGGTGAGTTTCGCTCCGGCATTCTCGCCAGATTCTGTGCTGAGCAGGGCATCACCCAGTCCTGGACTCTTCCAGACTCTCCACAACAGAATGGGGTTGCTGAGCACCGGCTAGGCCTGGTCATGGAGATTGCCCGCACCTCCATGATCCACGCCCGCGCGCCCCATTTTCTATGGCCCTACGCGGCTCGGTACGCCGCTCACCAGCTGAACCTCTGGCCTCGCGTCTCTCGGCTAGGGGCTTCACCGACCAGTCTTTGGACAGGGTCCCCTGGTGTTGCGTCGAGGTTTAGTGTCTGGGGCTGCTTGGCACTTGTCCGCGACACCTCTGCGGGCAAGCTCTCACCTCGCGGCGTCCCCTGTGTCTTCCTTGGTTTCCCTGAGGCCTCCTCCGACTTCACCTTTTACCACCCTCCCTCCCACCGGTTCTTTGACTCTCGTGACGTCAGTTTCGACGAGTCCGTCCCCTACTTCGTCCGGTACCCCTGTCGAGGTCTCCCGGTTCCCCCCCCTCCCCTCTTCCTCGCCCCAGCTCCTCCTCCTCCCGCTCCCTCTCCTCCGGTACCCCCCCCGGTTCCCGCTCCGTCAGGTGTGTCGCAGGCTACCCCCCCTCCCTTGGTCCCCCCCCCAGGTCTCTCCTCCTTCCCCACAGTCGTCCTCACAGCCTCCGCAGCAGCCGTCGGCGCTTCCTCTCCCGGCCACTGCGGACTCTGAGGGTGTTGGTGCTCGAGGTGAGGGCTCTGGCGGTGCTGGTTCTGGGGGTGTTGGAGTTGGAGCTGAGCGTGCACCTGCCGCAGCTGCACGTCCCGAGCGTGTTGGAGTCGGTGGTGGTGCTGGAGCTGGTGGTGTTTCTGGAGCTGGAGAGTCTGGGGCTGGTGCTGGTGCCACTGGCGGCGCCACGACTGGGGGTGCGGGTACACCTCCTACAGGTACTGGTCGTGCTGCCGCAGGGGGTCCTCGCTCTGGGGGTGCTCAGCCGGGTCCTGTCGAGGGTGGAGCCGGTTCTTCTTCGTCGTCTCCTGACACCACTCCTCCTCCTCACCCCTACCCGACTCGTTACCAGGCCCTTCGTCGTCTAGAGCGTGAGGAGCAGCAGCGTTTGGAGCGTGAGAGGTCGGAGGTTCAGCAGCGGGTGGAGCGTGAGCGGTTGGAGTTTCAGCAGCAGCAGCAGCAGCAGCAGCAGCAGCAGCAGCAGCAGCAGCCGCAGCCACAGCCACAGCAGCAGCAGCAGCAGCAGCAGCAGCAGCAGCAGCAGCCGCCGCAGCTGCCGGAGCAGCCTCCGGCCCCTGTTTCTGGCCTTCGGGCCCTTGGTCTCCCCTCCTCTCCTCCTGTGTTCGGTCCCACGTTTCCTCCTCCGGACTCCACTCCGGCTGTCTTCCCTCGTTCTCAGTCTCCTCCGTCCCCCCCTCCTCTCGCCCACACTTGGGCCTCTCGCCCTCCTCGTGCTCGTCCCTCGTCCCCTGTCACTGACCTCCGTACCGTGTTGTTTCGTCCTCGTCCTCCTCGTTCTCCTCCGTCTGTCCTTCCTCGTCCTCCTGAGTCTTCCCTCACTGCCTCCCTGTCCACTCCGGTCACTGACTAATACCGCACGTACCGCCCCACTCTCTCTCGTGTTCTCGCCTCTCTTGTTACAGACCCTCATGCCTCTCCTTCCTCCGTCGCGGTCCTCACTGCCGCTGTCACTGACTTTACTGCTACGCGTCGCCTTGACTACGCCACTCGAGTTGTGGCAGCTCCTCCTGTCCGTCCTCTGTCCGCCGGGGGTGTGTGTGCCCTTGGCTGTGACGTCTTAGAGGACAGACAGTTTGAGCTAGAGTTCCTGGCAGCTGCTTCGCCTCATCTCTGTGCCATGCTGCTCACTCCTGAGGGAGACCCCGACGCTCCTGACATACCTACTCCTCGCACTTACACTGAGGCAGTGTCAGGGCCTTGGGCCTCTCAGTGGAGAGCTGCCATGGACGCAGAGATGGCCTCCTACAGGTCCACAGGCACTTATGTTGACGAGGTTCCCCCCCCAGGGGCGAACATTGTTGACGGCATGTGGATCTTCAAGGTGAAGCGGCCGCCGGGATCTCCCCCAGTCTTCAAGGCACGCTACGTGGCTAGAGGGTTCAGTCAGCGCGAGGGGGTTGACTTCTTTCAGACCTTCGCGCCCACCCCGAAGATGACCACTCTTCGGGTGTTACTGCACGTAGCAGCGCAGAGAGACTACGAGCTACACTCTCTTGACTTCTCCACTGCCTTCCTCCAGGGCTGCTTACACGAGGAGATCTGGCTGCGTCGTCCTCCGGGCTTCACTGGCACTTTCCCGCCTGGGACCCAGTGGAGCCTCAGACGACCGGTCTACGGTCTCCGCCAGGCACCCCGTGAGTGGCACGACACTCTCCGCTCCACTCTCTCCGACCTCGGGTTTGAGCCGTCTTCCGCCGACCCGTCGCTGTTTGTTCGTCGTGGCCGTACACCTTTCTTCGTCCTAGTCTACGTTGACGACTTGGTTTTTGCCACGGCCGACACAGCTGCACTGGCGGAGGTGAAGTCCGAACTGCAGAAGAGACACACCTGCACTGACCTTGGGGAACTGCGCCGCTACCTTGGCCTGCAGATCTCCAGGGACAGAGCCGCTCGCACCATCACTCTCACTCAGTCACACATGGTGCAGCAGGTTCTTCAGCGGTTCGGGCTTCAGGACTCTTCTCCTGCCCCCACTCCTCTTGCTGTAGACCACAGACTCACTGGGCCTTTTCCTGACGAGCCGTTCGAGCCCAGTGGTCCCTACGCAGAGCTGGTGGGCTGCCTCATGTACCTGATGACGTGCACTCGCCCGGACCTCGCCTTCCCCCTTAGCATCCTGTCTCGCTTTGTTGCGACTGGGAGACACCGTCCTGTTCATTGGGCGGCGGCTAAGAGGGTGGCGAAGTACCTTGGCGCGACATCAGGCATGGGGCTTGTACTTGGAGGGACACAGCCAGTTGTACTCACCGGTCACTGTGACTCTTCCTACGCTGACGACGTTGAGACTCAGAGGTCTACGCAGGGTTACTGTTTCAGCCTGGGTTCTGGAGCTGTTTCGTGGAGGTCTACTCGGTCCTCCTCTGTTGCGACTTCTACCGCAGAGGCCGAGATCTACGCTGGGGCCCTTGCTGCTCAGGAGCTACGCTGGTTGACCTTTTTGCTCACTGACCTTGGTGAGCGGCCGAGCTCTGCACCGACCCTGTTTGCTGACAACAGGGCGATGATGTGAAATGAGTAAGCAGGAATGATGTGAACTATGAGTGAAAGCAGTACAAATGTGAAACCCTAACTGGGTTGTACCCCCTATGGGATACCCCACTACAGCCTACACAGCAGTATAAGCTATAGACATGTTCTGACACACCCCCATAGGCAAAGTGGGGGAGAACAAGGGGTCACAAGACCAGTCAAGCAAGACAAAGCAAAGCTCAGGGTGGATCACAAAGTCACCACACAATCCGAGCACAAGAGCAAGGCCAAAGGCCAGTTCACAAGCAAGAGTACAGACATATATATATAAAACTAGACAAGCAAGAGCAGGTATATATATATTTCACAGTACAAGTAAAGTCAAGAGGAGAGCAAGTGAGGCAAGACAGGCACAAGACCCAGCTGGGTGCAGAAGCGCTGATGGTCACAAGGCGCAAGTGCCTTGGTGAACACATCAGCAGTGTTGGCCTCAGAGGCCACGTACGCAAGTCGCAACTGACCACGCTGCTGCAACTCACGAGCAAGGAAGTAGCGGAGAGCAATGTGCTTCGTTCTGTGCTCCAAGCGCTGCTCTCGACACAAGGCCAGCATAGCCTTGTTGTCTACGTACAGCACTGGAGGAGAACGAGGCGGCTCTCCAAGGTCAGTCAGCAGGTAGGTGAGCCAGCGAAGCTCCTGTGCAGCCATGGCTCCGGCGTAGATCTCAGCCTCACAACTGGAGCCGAGAACCGAAGACGAGCGAGTAGACCGCCACGAGACAGAGCCGGAACCAAGGCTGAAGGTGTAACCCTGTGACGACCGCTGCGTAGCCTGGTCGTCAGCCCAAGAAGCGTCCGCGTGGCCGGTAAGGACCACTGGACTCCGCCCTCCAAGCACTAGCCCCATGCCTGACGTACTGCACAGGTAGCGCAATACCCTCTTCGCTGCAGCCATGTGCTCCGGTCTGTGTCTCCCAGGAGCAACATAGCGTGCAAGAATGCTCAGAGGGTATGCAAGGTCAGGTCGTGTGCAGGTCATCAGGTACATGAGGCAGCCAACAAGCTCTGCATACGGACCACTCGACTCTACGGACTCATCCGAAGGCAGAGCTGAGAGTGAGTGGCGAGTAGGCAGAGGAGTGGCCTGAGGCGAGGAGTACGTGAAGCCGAAGCGCTGAAGGACCTGCTGCACCATGTGTGACTGAGTCAAGGTAATGGTGCGGCGTGCTCTGTCCCGAGTGATCTGCAAGCCAAGGTAGCTGCGCAGTTCACCCAGGTCTGTGCACGTGTGTCTCTTCAGCAGCTCGGACTTCACGTAGGCGAGTCCAGCAGTGTCCGCTGTGGCAAAGACCAAGTCGTCGACGTACACGAGGATGTAGAACGGCGGCAGGGAAGTGTCGGTGCGAAGAAACAGCGACGGGTCAGCAGTAGAAGGAGCAAACCCAAGAGCCGCAAGCGTAGTCCTCAGTGTGTCGTGCCACTCACGCGGTGCCTGGCGGAGACCGTAGACTGGCCGTCTGAGGCTCCACTGGGTGCCAGGAGGGAAAGTCCCAGTGAAGCCAGGTGGACGGCGAAGCCAGATCTCCTCGTGCAGGCTACCCTGCAAGAACGCAGTGCTGAAGTCGAGAGAGTGAAGCTCGTAGTCGCGCTGAGCGGCTATGTGCAGCAGCACCCGAAGAGTAGTCATCTTCGGGGTGGGAGAGAAGGTCTGAAAGTAGTCAACTCCCTGCCGCTGACTGAAGCCACGAGCAACGTACCGTGCCTTGAAGACAGGTGGAGAGCCCGGCGGCCGCTTCACCCTGAAGATCCACATGCCACTGACGATGTTCGCCCCAGGAGGGGGAACAGCGTCAACGTAGGTGCCTGTGGACTTCCAGGAAGCCATCTCTGCATCCATGGCTGCCTACCACTGAGAGGAGTAGGGGCCCTCTACGGCCTCCGCGTAAGAACGCGGAGTCGGGATGTCTAGTGCATCCGGGTCTCCCTCAGGGGCAAGCAGTACAGACGCGAGATGAGGTGAAGCAGCCGCTAGACACTGTAACTCCTCCTGCCTGTCCTCTAGGACGTCCGTGCCAAGAGCACACTCACCCCCGACGGACGGAGGACAGACACACGCAGACTCAGCAACAAGACTAGCAGCGTAGTCGAGACGACAGCGAGCAGCAAAGTCGACGAGCTCAGCGACTAGAGCAGACGCAGCAGTGGACTCAAAAGAGGGGTCAGTGACGACAGTAGCAAGCAGACGCGTGACAGTAGGACTCGCAGCGCGAAGAGAGTCCGACTCATGGTCGGCAAGCGCAGGAAGAGAGGACTCAGGAGGAGAAGGCAAAGGGGCACGCAGAGGAGCAGTGGACGGACGCAGAGACATCCGGTGCGTGCCAGGGACAGGAGGAGGACGCTGACGCGAACCGCGACCACTAGCGCGAGCAGCACGAACAGGCGACGCGGGGCGAGACGCAGGCTCACGACGCTCAGCAAGACCTCCAGTAGGACCAGTGTAAGGAGAGGGAGCAGGCAGTGGAGAGGAAGGCTCCAGTAGGGACTGCGACTGGACAGGCGGTGGACCCTCTACTGGAGGAGAAAGACCAAGAACCTGCTGAAGGAGCGGAACGAAGTACGGCCGAGGCCGCGCGGCAGCTCCAGTCTCAGCAGGGACAGCACCAGCACCCTCAGCGACAGCACCAGCGCCACCCACACCTCCAGCGGCAGGACCAACAGCAGCAGGCCCAGCACGAACGCCCTCAGCAGCTCCAGCTCCAGGAGGACCCGCAGGTCCAGCAGCTCCGGGACCGGCAGCACCCGCACCCTCGACGATCGAAGAAGCTCCAGCTCCAGCTCCAGCAGCACCTCCAGACTCAGCAGCACGCCTCCAGCGGCGAGCGAACCACTCGCGCAGCTCCTGTGGAGAGAGGGGCTCCCGGCGAGACGCAGCAGCAGGAGAAACCCCAGGCTCAGCAGCTCCAGACGCAGCACCCCCAGGCTCAGCAGCTCCCAGCTCAGCACCCCCAGGCTCAGCAGCTCCAGGCACAGCACCCCCCGGCTCAGCACCCCCAGGCTCCGCACCCACCGCAGTAGCACCCTCAGGCCCAGCACCCCCAGCAGTAGCACCCCCAGGCACAGCACCCCCGCGCACAGTACCCCCAGAGTCAGCACCCCCAGGCTCAGCACCCGCAGCAGGACCAGAGTCACCAGTAACCTCGACCGGGTCAACGGCGTCTACCTGGGACACACCTGAGGGGGCAGGAACCTGAGGGGGGAGGGGGTCTACCGGGGGGGGAACCGGCACAAGGAAGTCCGGGGGAGGGGGGAGGGAAGTAGTGCGGTAGGGGAAGAGACGGTAGAAGGGGACTGACTCGTCGAACGTGACGTCCTGGGAGGACAGAACACGACGAGAGGAGGGGTGGTAAAACTGCCACCCTGGGGCGTCAGTGGGGAAGCCAAGAAAGACACAGGGAGCAGCACGAGGGGACAGCTTGTCCGCAGACAAGTCGCGGACAAACGCCCGAGATCCCCAGACACGGAACACAGACGCATCGCCAACCTTCCCTGTCCACAGCAAGACTGGGGACATCGAAGGCCGAGAGACCCGGGGGTGAAGGTTGAGCTGATGCGCCGCGTACCTCACCGCAAACGGCCACAGAAAATGGGGGGCAGCCGCATGCATCATGGACGTACGAGCGACATCCATGACCATGCCAATGCGGCGCTCAGCAATCCCATTTTGCTGTGGTGAGTCCGGAAGCGTGAAGGTCTGGCGGATCCCCCGTGCACGACAGTAGTCTCGCAGAAGGCGAGAAGAGAACTCTCCGCCTCTGTCAGAGTGCAGACGCAGAACAGGAAAGTCCGAGCCGAAGCTCTTCCTGAGCTGGAGACGAGCCTCGCGGATCCAGTCGATCAGCACCTCAGTGACCGCACCCTTGCTGCGCAAGGGGAGGACTGTGGTGTAACGCGAGTAGTCGTCAACCACCAACAGGAAGTATCGCTCGTAACCCTGCCCACGGACGGGGGCTGGGCCCCACACATCCATGTGAAGCGTCTGCAGGGGAGCCTCTGTCGGGGGGAAGTGGGAGGAGTGAGGAGTAGCCCGGAGGCGACCCTCGACACAGGGGACACAGGAAGGTCCTGGCCCGGAGGGGAGAGGAGGGAGAGACTGGGGAAGACCAGAGACAAGGACACGGGAAGCCATGCTCCGAAGACGGGGCAAGGAGGGGTGGCCAAGACGGTGGTGCCACAGGAGAGTCTCGTGAGACAGGAGGCGACAAGAACAGGGGGCAGACTCAGGACCTGACCGGGACGCAGCAGCAAGTACCTGACCCGACGCAGCCACCTGACCAGACGCAGGGACAGGAGGAGACTCAACGGTCAGGGTGTAGAGACTCGACCCCGGCCGACGCGAGAACGTGGCCAGGTGTCGGCCTGTGCGAGCCTCCGTGCAGTGGGTCACCCGCTGACGCGCAGGAGTGAACTGGTGAACACCCCCATCCTGCAGGTCCGCTCCACTCACCAAGTTCGTAGAGAACGAGGGAAGGTACAGACCCGACAGGGTGCCCGAAGGGGCAGCCGGACACGGGAGGACAGTGGAGAAGTGAGACAGGACAGGACCCCCAGAGGGGTCAGCAAGGGAGACCGCAACCGGCCTGGCGAGCGGCGAAAGGGTAGTGCGATCTCGAAAGAAAGAGCGAGAAGCTCCGGAGTCAAGTGTGAAAGTGAGGGAGGACGAGGACGACTCAGTACCTGAGAACGCAGTCTCACCAGTACCTGAGAGCGCAGACGCACTGGCACCTAGAGCAGCAGCCTCACAAGTACCTAGCGCAGCAGTACCAATGCCCGGGTCGGGCTGGAAACACCGGTAACCCTCATTCTCCTCACTAGAATCCACAACATACATAGCAGTAAGGATAGCATCAAAATCAAGATCAAAGATCGCTACACCAGCCCTGAGAAGCTCATCCCAGCGAGGGATCTCACTAGCCCCAGGGAACTGCTGACGCGAAGCGTCCGTCAGGCGGCCAAAGCAGCGCTGGGTGGCGTGGGCACCCCCACACTGCTCACCCGCGCGGTCGCCGGAACGAAGAACGTAGGTGCAGGGACCAGTACCCCCACCCCTCTGACGCCCAGCGTACCACTCACGAAGCTGCTGAGGCGAAGGGATGTCCCGTGAGCGCTGCTGCTGCTGCCGGTGCGAGCGCTGGCCACCACCACCGCCGCTACGCTGCTGGGGACCACCCCGACCAGCTCCACCTCCTCCACCACTACTGCCTCCGCCGCTGCCGCCTCCACTGCCTCCACCTCCGCCGCCTCCACCTCCGCCGCTGCCTCCACCACCACCGCTGGCACCACCACCACCGTCTCCGCCGCTGCTGCCACCACCACCACCACCACCCCCGCCACTAGTCCCGCCGCCACCCCCACTCCCTCCGCCGCCACCGCCGCCACCGCCACCGCCCCCCCCAGCTCCACCCGCGCCCTTGCCTCCCTTACCCTTGCTGGAGCGACGTCTCCCACTAGGGGCAGACGCCGTGCCGACCGACTCAAGACCAAGCAGGTCGGCAGCAGCAGCAGAGGCAACAGAGGGCAGCAAGGGGGAAGGAGAGCACCCCTCAAAGATGGGGGTGCGAGGGTCACCACGAGAAGCACCTACAGCGACTATGCTCTTCTCCGCTGCAAGGAGGGCCTTCTCGAGGAGATCGACGGTGAGAGTGGTGGGACAGACTGCGAGAAAGTGGTCCCTGACGACGCGAAGGGAGTCAGGGAGGCGCGCGACTACGTAGTAGAGAGCGATGTACATGGGAGGGGGGTTCCTAGCGCAGAACTCAGCAGGAAGGGCGGCGCGGTAGCGAGTGTCACTAGTGCGGAGGTGCGTAATGAGGTCAGCGACAGTGGGAAAGGCAGAGAGGTCAGGAAAGAGGTAGGGAAGCATGAGACGGCTCAGTGCAGCAGTGGCAGGGGAGGAGTAGCGCGCAACTACAGCGTCGTACAAGGTCTGAGCACTCTTGTACTGACTAAAGTGCGCACGCTCAGAGGTAGGGAGGTGGCGACGCACAGCAAGACGTGCAGCAGCATCGCGGGTGGCCCACTTAGAGCGGACAGCGGGATCAGCATCAGCAGCAGGAGCAGGAGAGGCGCCAGAGGTGAGGTCAAAGAGAGAAAGGTCATCAGCCCTGTCGCACTGTAAGAACAGCTGCAGGTCGTCTAGCCAGACCTCAAAATCAATGGCGCGACCCTCAGCGTCAAAAGCTAGGACACTAGGGGTAGCCATGACGACGACTGTGAAGCAGTGCAAGCAGTAGGGGGGAGAGCACGCAGTGACAGTGGGACTGTGCTCACCAGGCAGGGCAGGTCGCGCAGCTCGACAGAAAAGCAGAACGGCGACCGGGCGGCTCGGGTGTACAGCGGATCGGCTCGCGGGCGGCTCGACGGCAGGGCGGCTCGGGTGCAGGGCGGCTCGGCTCCCGGGCGGCTCGGCTGCAGGGCGGCTTGGGTGCAGGGCGGCTCGGCTCCCGGGCGGCTCGGGTGCAGGGCGGTTCGGGTCCCGGGCTGCTCGGCGACAGGCGGCTCGGGTCGCGTAGAAGTGAGACGGGGCGGGGCCGCGTCAGGGCCGGCGGTAGGGCCGCGTAGGAGCCGGGGCAGGGCCGCGAAGGAGCCGGGGCAGAGCCGAGTAGGAGGCCGGCGGTGGGGCCGCTTAAGGGGCCGGCTGCGGGGCCGAGTAGGAGCCAGCTGCGGGGCCGCGTGAGAGCCGGCGCGGGGCCGCGTAGGAGCCGGCGGCGTGGCCGCGTCAGGGCCGTGTAAGGGGGGGGGCCGGCGCGGGGCCGCGTAAGAGCCGCGTAGGAGCCGGCGCGGAGCCGCGTAGGGGCCGGGGACGGGCCGCGTAAGGAGCCGGCGCGGGGCCGCGTAGGAGCTGGCGGCGTGGCCGCGTAAGGGCCGCGTAAGGGCCGCGTAAGTGGCCGGCGCGGGGCCGCGTAAGGAGCCGGCGGCGTGGCCGCGTAAGGGCCGCGTAAGGGCCGCGTAAGGGGCCGGCGCGGGGCCGCGTAAGGGCCGCGTAGGAGGCGACGCGGGGCCGCGTAAGGGCCGGGGCGGGGCCGCGTAAGGAGCAGGCGGCGGGGCCGCGTAAGGAGCAGGGCGGGGCCGCGACAGAGTGGGCGGCGAGGCCGCAGGGGAGAGGGCGACTCGAGGGGTCGCTAAAAAAAATTGCGCCTCGGGGGCGCGCTTCGGTGGGCCCAAAAAAAAATTTCGGTCCTGGAGGGACCTAGCTCTATACCATGTCAGAATGAGTAAGCAGGAATGATGTGAACTATGAGTGAAAGCAGTACAAATGTGAAACCCTAACTGGGTTGTACCCCCTATGGGATACCCCACTACAGCCTACACAGCAGTATAAGCTATAGACATGTTCTGACAGATGATTCTCCTGTGTCGTGAGCCTCGACTGGAGAGCCGAGTGAAGCACATCGACGTCAGGTACTTCCTCCTTCGAGACTTGCAGAGACGCGGACAGGTTCGTCTGGACTTTGTGGCCTCCGAGGCCAACACTGCAGACATCTTCACCAAGGCCCTCAAGCCTTGTGACCACCGTCGGTTTTGTCTGCAGTTAGGCCTCGTTGAGACTGGGTCTAGTTGACTGCTGTAGGGTGCTCTTTGTCTGTTGCTTGCTTGTACCTTATATATATATATATATATGTATATATTTGTTTGCACACTTTTGGACTGGCCTTGTGGCCCTTTGCTTGTGCTCAGATTAGGTGGTGACGTTGTGATCCACCCTGAGCTTTGTTTTCTTTCTCTTGTTTTTGACTGGTCTTGTGACCGTAGGTTGCTTGTTGTTGATTGGCCTTCCCCACTTAGGCTATGGGGGTGTGTCAAATATTATAGCCTGTAGTGGGTTGGGCTATATGGGGTACAACTAGTTAGGGTTAGGTGATGTACCCCAATCCTGTCAACACAACGCATTCCGCTGTAGTTCTCATTCTGACACAATCTTCTACGACGAGAGCTCATCTTGACAACTGGGCAACTAGTCCTTCTCGACACGAAGAACCTGAACCTGCCCGGCCCTGCGAAACTTCGGCCACGATGTTGCGGACCGTTTAAAATTCTCAAGATGGTGACACCTGTCACCGCGAAGCTGTTGCTACCCGACGACTGGCATATCCATGACGCGTTCCACGTCAGCCTTCTTCGGAAGTACGTGCCTACCACGACCGACATTGCACGTCAGCAAGCGGCCCCGACAGCTCGCCCAGTCCCGGAGCCAACCCTTGCCCCTTCCAAGATCCTCGCTCATCGGGTCCGCCTTGATGCCGCTGGTCGCCACGTGGATTTCTTGATTCGCTGGACTGACCGCACCAGTGAGGACGACACATAGGTGCCATCCGCTTCACTGGACGCCTCTGTTGGGCTGAGAAATAGCCCTTAGGATCTTTGCAGAGGAGAACTCTTGGGTAGAAACTTGTAATAGCGGAAGCGTTTTAATGAGGATTGTGAACCGACCTTGCACTGGTGTGTGAGAGCAAAGTAGATTAAATTGAACAAGCAAATACAAGGATTTATATAAGAGTACAGGGAATACGAATAGATAGATAGATAACTGTATTGCTGTTGCGGTTCGATACAGTGCGACTCGGGCAACTGCTCTGTAACGAGTCAGTTGTGTGTCCTTAACTGTCGCGCTGTAATTGTCGAGTCAAAGGTCAGCGACCTTTGACTTTCTCGTAACCTCCAGGCGGTTACCCTAACCTCCGAGGTTGACTCGATGCTTCGATTGGGACTGCTTCGCTTGGTGCCTTGGGTCTTGGTACGACAGAAGCGCACTTAGGACTTATTGTTTCCAACACTCCCCTTCGCTTCTGGAGTGTCGCTGCTGGTGACGTGGCCTTGTCCAGTCAGCATCATGCAGTATTCAAACTTCTGCTTTCCGAGTTTCTTGGTCAAGTAATCGGCTGCCATCTCGGATGTTGGACAGTACGACAGATCGAGTTTCCCTTTTTCTATCTCGTCCTTCACGAAGAAATAGCGCAGGGCGATGTGTTTCGTCCTGTTTGCGAAGCCGTTTTTGTTGGCGATGCGAATTGCCGACTGGTTGTCGCAGAACACGGTGAAGCTGGGTAACTCGGCTAGCTTCGCTTCTTCCAGTAGTTCGCGAAGGTAAAGTCCCTCCTTGGTGGCTGAGCAGAGTGCAATATATTCTGCTTCTGCTGAAGATAGTGCGATTAACTCCTGCTTGCTCGACTGCCAGGAGATAGGACCGATAGGCTCAAGGCGGTAGACATAGCCGGTGCGTGAGCGCCTGTTGTCGGTGTCGCCGGCGTGATCGGCGTCGACGTAGCCGATTAGCTTGGTCGGTGTAGTCACATTTTTGTGATAAGTTAGTCCGATCGTCGCGGTGCTGACGAAGTAGTGGAGAGCACGATCGAGTTCCGCCAGATGCTCTGCTTCAGGTCTCTTGAGATAGGTAGCGAGCTGACTCGCGGAGTAGGATAGGTTGGGACGGCATGTGACTGCTGCGAAAAGAAGGCATCCGAGCTTCTTTTGATAGTCGCGTATGCCGGCGGGTTTAAGTAGAGTAGATTGCCCCTTTTCGGTTCCTGACGCGTAGCGGTAAGGCGTGGAAATGGCGCTTGGTGTGAGACGGAAGCGTTTCGCGATAGTGTCGGCGTACTTCTCGGCGCTTAGGTAGATAGTGTTTTCTTCCTCACGGATGTTGAGCCCGAGATATTGCGTAACCGTAGAAGAGACCGTGAGCGTGAGGTCTTTCTGGAGCTCCCCTTCGAACCACGTGGCGATGTCGTCGGTTGACCCAATGTAGAGGAGATCGTCCACGTAGACGATTAGTAGGACGTAATCGCCTCCTTTTGTGAGGCGATACATGCCCTGGTCATGCGGGAGTTGTTTGAAGCCGATGCGGATGAGGCGGGCGTGTAGGTACTGCTGCCACAGTCGCGGTGCCTGCTTGATCCCATAGAGTGATTTGAGTAGTTGACACACTCGGTTGGGTTCGCCGTGGGAGCCGTGCGGGAGTTTGACGAAGATTTCTGCATCCACAGGTGCGTAGAGAAATGCGTTCGCAACGTCGATTTGTCGCAATTTCTTTTTCTTCATGGCGGCGACGGCGATGAGAATTCGGAGTGAGGTGTGGCGACTGACCGGAGCGAAGGTTTCGGTGTAATCTCTTCCGTGCTCCTGGTCGAAGCCACGTACGACCCAGCGGGCTTTGAATTTGTCGATGGTGCCATCAGCTTTCGTCTTCACACGGAAGACCCATTTCCCGGTAAGAATGTTTTTATTTTGAGTTACGCCGATGGGAACAATTTTCCAGGTGTTGCGCTCCTCCAGTGCCTTCAGCTCTTTGTCCATAGCTTCACGCCATTTCTCCCTGTGTTCCCCCCCCAGAGCCTGCTGAACCGTCGCAGGCTCCTCAGGAATGCCGGCGCCATGGACTGCGGTGACGAGACCAAGGATTTGCAGCCCAGTCTGTGAGTATCGAGGGAGTTCTGGATCCTCGGGATAAGCTGCTTCGTCTCCCGTTTCTGGGTCGGGCATGAAATTTGGCCCTACCCTTTCTGCTTCGTTGGTGTTGACTGTCGCAGGTGTTACGTAACCATCGTCGGCGAAACGGTAGAAGATTTCGGCGTTGTTACTGTCGCGAGGATTATCCTCATCCATGGGCACGTCGACGGAGCAGTATGGGAGAGGTCCGGCTTCTTCCGAGGCGTTGTCGACGTTCTGTTCATCCCAGTCTGCTTCGTCCGCTGCTGACGCGAAGGCTCGGTCACCACGAAAACCACTGGTGAGGTCCCGATTCTCGTGCAAGTTGGCGAGGTACGTCTGAAGGGTGAGTCTTTCGTAGAAGATCACGTCACGTGCTGCTACTGTTTCCTTTGTGTGGACGTCGAAGATTCTCCATGCGTTGTAATTTTTCTCGATGCCGAGGTGTAGTCCCCACTGTGCTCGTTGCGAAAATCTTCCCGCTCGTGCTTCTGGGGGTCTGTACTGTACCGTGCACCCGAAAACTCGTAACATTTTCGTGCTGCCCTGCTTCCCTGTCCACAGCAGATGCGGTGATGCGTTGTTCGGGAGTGACGACGACGACAACAAGTTGTGCAGCATGACAGCGTGGTCCATTGCTGCTGGCCACTGGTGGTTGGGTAGCCGCATGCCACGTAACAGTTTGCGCATGCTGTTCTGCAGGGTCCTGTTCAGTCGTTCTGCAACACCTTGCTGCTGATGTGCGTAGGGAAGGGAGAGGAGTTGCTTGATCCCCCT